AGCAAGTTTTGTCCCTAATACTTGGTATGATTTGAGTATTCTGTGGCCACATTCCTTCTTACTTTTACTATCGTACTTTACTTGTCATTACTGTGTTTATTAGGCAGAAGTGTCCTAGCACAGATAGTACTTGCCCTGCCCAAACTGGACTTATCTTTCATAAGCTTCCTTCTTTGTGCAGAGTATGCCTTTTTCCAGTTGAAAGTAGCTACCATACCTGTTGGATGCCGAAAACACTACCATATTGAATGTTTTTCCTCCAGATTGTTGCACACTAGTATTCGTCTACAATTGGTAGACTTCATCTGCCTGTACTGCTCTTGAACTGTAGCACACCACAGAGTTCAGTCCTGTTTACAGAGAGATGAAGACTGAATTGAGTGGGAGTCTTCAATGTAGTTTCTTTTTTAATGTTCTTTATTACCACTCTTAGAAAGCTGGTAACGGGGTTTAATTAGAGAATATAGAGCTGTAAAATGAATTGATTGAGAAGCAGAAAGAGGGAAGTTTAAGGGTGAGTTTGTCATTAAGTGTTTACATGACAGCACAGAATCACCGAATGGTAGGGCTTGGAAGGGGCCTCTGAAAATCATCTGGTCCGATGCCCCTGCCAGAGCAGGATCACCCAGACCAGGTCACACAGGAACACGTCCAGACAGGTTTTGAATGTCTGCAGAGAAGGAGACTCCACAACCTCTCTGGGCAGCCTGGGCCATGCTCTGGCACCCTCACAGTGAAAGTTTTTCCTTATGTTTAGATTGAACTTCCTGTGTTCCCATTTGCGACCATTGCTCCTTGTCCCATCACTGGGCACAACCAAGAAGAGTCTGGTCCCATCCTCCTGACACCCTCCCTTCAGATATTTATAAACATTAATAACATCCCCCCCTCAGTCTCCTCCAGGCTGAACAGACCCAGCTCTCTCAGCCTTTCCTCATATGGGAAATGCTCCAGTCCCCTCATCATCTTAGTGGCTCTGCACTGGTCTTCTTCCAGTCGTTCCTTGTCCTTCTTGAACTGGGGAGCCCAGAACTGGACACAATATTCACCAGGGCAGAGTAGAGGGGGAGGAGAACCTCCCTTGACCTACTGGCCACACTCTTCTTAATGCCTCCCAGGATGACATTGACCTTCTTGGCTGTGAGGGCACAGTGCTGGCTCATGGTCATCCTGCTGTCCACCAGCACCCCCAGGTCCTTTCCCCTGAGCCGCTCTCCTGTACTGATACGTGGGGTGGTTCTTCCCCAGATGCAGTGCTCTGCACTTGTCCTTGCTCAGTTTCTCCTTGCCCACCTCTCCAGCCTGTCCAGGTCTCGCTGAATGGCAGCACAGCCTTCTGTTGCAGTGCAGATCTTCACGGATTAGCTGCCTTCTGAAAGAAGTTCAGGTGGGATACTTAACAAGAAAGTTTTGAGGTTTTGTTTTATTGTTTTTATTTCCTTTTTTGAAAGGTATGTTATCAGGCAAGCTCTATGAAGAAAAAAAAAAATAAAGCCTAGTTGGCTTGCAGGTTTGGCTGCAAGATTTCCAAGGTTTGTTTTTTTGGAGGTACTATGTGAGAAGTCTGGTTTTACATACAGCTGAATGCAATGAATAGGGTTTTCCCTAGCAAATTTTAAGTCTGGTTTATTTTCCAAAGGCTGTATCTGGTATCTTCCTAAAGAGGTTTTACCATCTATGTATGCAGTATGCAGAGTGACTTCTGCATTCTGGTAGTCAAACTTCTTGTTGTTCCAGCTCTTTTAAGGAGCTATGTTAAAGCTTGCTGCTTCAGTGAAATAGACATTTAAACTTTTTTTTTTACTCTTGAGATCATAGCAAATTACTTCTGTCACTGACAGCAAGAAGATTTGGTGCCCACTGAAATGATCTCAGTCCTTTTTCTGTATTTTGGGGCAGTAGTTCAGCCAGCTTTTCCTCAGTATTGTTACACTTTGTAGATAATCTTACCATCCTGTGACAGTTTGTAGAAGTTTCTAAAACCTGTAGATTTCTGGATGATAGTTCTAGTGATATTGGAGCCAATGTATGTCACTTGTCTCTACTGCTTTTCCTCTAATACCTCATTCTCCTGAATCTTTGTAAGTCAGTCAGTTACTAATCACCTGGCTGTAAGTGTTTCTGTAGGTTTAGTAGCTGGGTCATGTATGTGTCAAACAGACAGCCAGTATTTTGCTACTCTTAACTAATTAGAAACAATTTCTACAAAAGATAGTTTCAGAACATGTTAGTTTGTTGTGAATTTCTTCCGCCAGATTGAAATGTCTGTTGCATGATGCCTGTTGTGTCCTGTGAGCAGAGCATTACCTCGCTTCTTTGAATAACAGTGAAAAAAGACACAATTTATTTCTTTACGGAGAAGTAGCAGGGAGGAGGATTAATTAAAACCAAGTAAATGAATTACTAATGCATAAATGCAGTTGTGAAATAATGGTGTAAGTCAGTGTCAGATTTTTTCCCTGCAAGTTATACAGTGAGACACAACTGTCTACAAAAGCATCAGTGGCTTTCTTAAAGTTATTTATGCAAAAGATATTGAGGCTGCAGACAAGAACTGCCATGTGCTTTCATGGACGTTTTTGTACTTTAAAACTTCATCTGTAGTTGTGACCCCATGTATTAATGGACATGGAGCCAGGTGTGTTGTGACTCGTTTGTTGTTACACGGAACAGTAAAAGTAGAAGCCTGGGTCCTCTACATCATCACTGAGGTTTTTTTGAACGCTTAATTTAACATCTTTCTCACACCCCCGTTCCAGAAATGTTGTCAGTTTTCTGATTGGGGTTTTTTGTTTTTTTAACTGTGTTCATCTTTAGTTCTTGGAGGATGTTTGTGTAATGTCATTTTTTGCTGTAAAGTTCCAAACAGGTTACTGATTTTATTTATTAGGACATATAATCTTAATTGGGGATGTATTTGGAAATTCTCTGGTTTTGGAGTCACGTAGCTGTGCGCGTATTTATCCGTGTGTGTATGTGTGTATGTGTATATATGTGTGTGTGTATATATATATGTGTATGTATATATATGTTTGTATAAATACATAGATATGTATGTGTGAATAGTCCAGCTTTTAAAATTAAGTTGTCTTTAGCAATTTATCAGCTTTAGAATTTCATCTTTGCTTCCACGTGTGGTTGTAGGTTGTAGGACAGTAGTTCAGTTGTGGATATCTGTATATGCATCAGTTCCCTGTACTTGAACTGCTAATGAACTGCTTTTCTTCCTGATGCAAATGCAGATCACCATCTTCTGCACCACCCCCACCCACCCCCCTGCTCTTTTTTGTTGTTGTTTTGACTTCTTTTGTTTGTTTGTTTGTTTTTGTTAAAATCTGCATCTTGGAAAGTTTCCTGGTAAGTTCTAATCATGTTTGTTTTGCTTCCATTAGGAATTGGAACTGAAATTATTCATCCACTTCTCCGAGCCTTTTGAAAAGTGACTAAATGCAACTGAGTCAGATTGTCTGTGGGAATGAAGTGGCTGGGAGAATCCAAGAACATGGTGGTGAATGGCAGGAGAAGTGGAAGCAAGTTGTCTAATGACCATGCGCAGAATCAGACCAAATTGCAGCATGCAGGAAAGGAGAATCCAAAGACAGGCAAAAATGGAGTGGAGAGAAGATCCAGCAGATGTATGTACATGTTTATGTGGCTTAGTGCTCTATATGCTTCATCTATCAATTTGCAGGTCAGGCTTCTGTCATCTTAATTCATGAAGGGTCTGCATTCAGCATGCAGTTATCATGTAGTTAACGGACACAAACTGGAACACAAGAGGTTCCACTTAAATTTGAGAAGAAACTTCTTCTCAGTGAGGGTGACAGAGCTCTGGCCCAAGCTGCCCAGAGAGGTTGTGGAGTCTCCTTCTCTGCAGACATTCAAAACCCGCCTGGACACCTTCCTGTGTAACCTCATCTGGGTGTTCCTGCTCCGCCAGGGGGATTGGACTGGATGAGCTTTTGAGGTCCCTTCCAATCCCTAACGGTCTGGGATTCTGTGATCATCAGAAGTATTAATTACGCCTGTATTTGTGGGATGTGTACTCACTGCAGGAATATAGATCTCTTCAGATCAGTTAAAAGTTAAGTGAGAGTATCTGGATGTAGATTAATTTTGAACTGGTTTAAGTATAAGATACGTGATTGGCACTAAGTGAGAACAAGTGTGATTGGACATAGATAACATTTTTAAGTACTAGTCCAATTTTTAGTGAATTCACGTGTAGTCATTAACCCTATTTTGAGTAAAGCCGCAGTATGTCAATAGTCATTACAAAACAGTTTTAAGGAACGGGGATTTTTATTTTCTGTATTGATCTGGGATGAAGGACCAAATACAAATTCAGAACAAGTCCTCTGTTCAGATTTTGGGAAAATCAAGTTTGAAATTTTAATGGCTTCATCATGTTTATAGGTCAAACTTAGAGGCAGACATAACTGAGCTGTGTATTTGGAAAGATGCTTGTAGCTGGGGAGGGAAAGGGAGGAGGAAACCAAAATTAGTTAAAGACACTCATAAAATATATTCTGAAGTACTTGTATCTATTGGCTGTTACATAAATGAACAAAAGCAGGAGTGAAAAATTATCTTCAGATGTTTTACCATCTTTAATTGTTCTGTATTTTTTTGTCTCCAACCTGTGGCTGGCTGTCCGTGAGCATAGCTGGGCTGTATAACATTCCTTAAATGATATCTAATTTCTGCTCTCTTATTTGCAGGTAGCGGTGCTTCAGGATTTGAGGGTCAAAGTCGTTATGTGCCTTCCTCTGGAATGTCCGCCAAGGAACTGTGTGAAAATGATGACCTAGCAACTAGTTTGGTTCTTGATCCCTATTTAGGTTTTCAGACACACAAAATGAATACTAGGTAACTTGTCTTAATTTTTCTAGAAAATAATTGATCTTCTTAGTTGATGTACTGAGAGCAAAACTGCGGAATTTCTTGCATGTTTATGAAAGTCTGAAAAAATGACAATTTGTTAATAGCTTCCACCTTTAAAATGGTGTTCTGTGTGAGACTGGAACTTGGAGCTCTGTAGCAGTGCACATTTGTAATGCTATCAGAGGGCTTTTCTGTTATCCCTCGTGTGTTTTATGCTGTAGCAGAGATTGTTAATGGACACAGTTTCCTAGCTTAAACAGTTAAGTAATTATAAGTTTTAAACCATTAGCCATTTGAAATATTTCAAAGACAGAAGTTAGTCTTTGGGGACTTTTCTGCTCATTTCATGTGTCTGGGTGCTTATTTTTTTAAAAAATAATCTTGCAACATCAGAAGGAAGGTACAGTTGCTGAGCACTTCAGTGTTGATGCCACTTGACTTCAAGTGCTTCCAGAGCTATGCTGAAGGATGCTACTCAGACGTATCTGTATGCATAAGATAAATTTATCTGCACACTGGGAACTTGCTTACCAAAATTGCACATGCTTCTTCACTGTTATGCCCCTTTCCGAATACTTCTGATCTAAATTCAGTATGGTCTTAGGGTTTAGTCGTTGTGTGCTTCTTCCTGATTTACAGATGTACCACTGCTTATGAGTGTATTCTATAGATCTTTCTCAAGCTTTCACTTACATACAAGGTCTTCATTGCTAGCTTAATGGATAGCCTGTATATAAGTTACTAGTTTCTAAGAACAGGAATTGTGTGCTTATTATTGTACAATAATAAGAGCTGGGGTTTCCAGGCAGCGCATCATGGGAAACAGGCTGTTCAACCCTTCAAACTGTTGCTGTGGCTATTTTTAAAGAACAGTTTGCCTGTGCAGCATGGTCACATAACCAGAGTATCAGTTAAGTACAAGTGACATATTCTTTGTTTAATGATTGGAGAAGCTACTTTCATAAATGCTGTTTTCTGCTGATATGCTTTCAACAACTAAAAAACTTTTTTAGTTAGTAATTTGAATCAAAAGACTACACAAAGGCTATCATCATGTATTTCTTCCTTTCTCAGACTTGGAGAACAGTTACAGGCAGTCTTCAAGGACAATAGTTAATAATCTTGGAGCACTATGGGAAACCCTTAGGTGAGGCTTACACCTTCTATGAGAAACACATCTTCTTGCCTCTTTCATAATGTCCTATTGAGAGAGTTTCTGTTGTTGCAATGAGTTAAAGTAAAGGCATCAGCATAGTTCTTGTTTATCTTCTGGGTACAGTGATGACATCCACTTGTTATTGTAGCTGTGTCACTTAGATCATCTTTGTTCCATCTAGTAAGCTGTAGTCTTTCTAGACCTCCTGAGACTTACTATTGCTGTATGGCTTTAAGGGAAGGCAAGGGGAAAGCAAATATGAAGCCTACAATATTTTCAAAATACCAGATGCCAGTACCCAAATACTAGGTAGAAATTAAGATTTACATCTTATGTTTGGGCATCTTCTGCTTCAGCTGATGAAGTTTCATTAGTTACATAGTCTCTGTGTTGAGGTATGCTCAAAATAAAACAGCCATTTATAATGGCAAGCAAATATTTCCAGTTCCCATGGTCTGATTTGTTTGAAGATGTAAGCGGAAGTGACTGTGCCAGCATTTGATTTTGTCGTTGGTTTGTGGTTTTGCAACTGGCAGCCCAGTGTAAGTTGATGAGCACTGACTAAAGTTGTACTTTACCTTGCTTCTGGAAGCCAAGTCTGTATTTTTGTATGTACAAGTGTACTTTGTGTACTTTCATTCATTCTTTTAGTTGAAGAGTTAGTAAAGACCTCATGTTTTGCCCAGAGTGTATTGATTAGAGGTAAAAAACTGTGTCATTCTAGTAAAATACTTAGATTAATGTTGGAACATCTTTGTTTTCCATCCTTTATACTGAATTAGCAATCTTATGGTAGAGTGGTAACCTGAATTGTTACCTTTTTTTTTTTTTTTCTTTCTGGAGGCCATAAAAATAAGTCGTGCAGTTCTGTAGTGCCCTCTGTCTGTAAGCTGTCAAGTCAGTAACGTCTGAGACAGCTGAAGACTTGTTCTCAAAAGATTACAATTGGTTCCTCTGATGAGTTTGTCCGGTGTCCCTCTGAAATATCATCTTGTCACCAGGGGTTTGATGGACAGTATAAAAGGTAGCACTGGAAGTTTCTTCAGTGGCTTTACCCAAAAGTAACTTCTTTCATCCTCGTGGATTTTCAAGAGAAAGCAGGTTGTTTTCAGAGTTTCTGACCCTCTTCACAGGCCCTGTGATCGTTCTTTCATCAAATTGGTAGCTCTTATCTTGACAAAAACAGCAGGTTAGCAGTTAATAATTTAGAAAAAAAGGTGTTGGGAAATGTATCTTGTCAAGTATAGCTGTTCTAAGAAGTTTTGTTGCTTCTTGTACAAATCTTGTATCAGACCTTTTTTTGTGACAAGGGCTATTCTGGTTGTAAGATTTACTTAGTGTTGCATGCCTGTCCTTTCTGTAAAAACAAAACTGATTTTGCAAGCTATTACTTCGTGTGTCGAAAGTTGTTTAACGCTAGAGATTAAAACTGACACTTGTAAAAAGCCAAGTGAATTCCTGCTTATCTTACCATTACCTGTCTTACTACTGCTTATCTTCAGATGCTCTTCTCTAGACTGAACACTACAAGTGTGTCAGTATTTAAATCTTAGGCCAGACTCCTGATCATACTGCTGCTGTTACCAGTCACTGTTGTTTCCTGGTTCCCAAAAGCACCAGCTTTTTATTCCCATGCTTGGGAATACCAACAGTAATTCCAGTGTCTTTGTAAGTTTGAAAGTGATTCAGGAAGTCAGGTGCATTGTAGTCTGTTTTAGGAGAGCGTGGGGGTGTTTCCTAACTCCATGTCGCTGTTTTCGGTGAAGTTACAAACTGGTGTGTGATGCGGGTGGTTTTGTACTATAATGTGAGACTAAAGGACCAAGCTCTAAGAATTTTCATGTTTTCCATAGCAAACGTGAAGTGTTTGAGTATGATATACAGGAAGCTGCTTTCTCTCAACATGGCACCAAGAGCGATTGCTGGCCTTGGTGTAAACTGTCAGTCATTCCTGAACTTGATAGGGTACGCAACTTCTTCGTCTCTTAGAGTTACAGAAAGGTTGTGGAGTCTCCTTCTCTGGAGACATTCAGAACCCACCTGGATGTGTTTCTGTGTGATCTTCTCTAGGTGATCTTGCTCTTGCAGGGGGGTTGGACTGGATGATCTTCAGAGGTCCCTTCTAATCCCTACCATTCTGCGATTCCATTACTGTTGAGCAATAAAGGCAAAAAAGAAAAAGCATTTCCGTATCACTTGCATCCATGGGTCCGTGCTGAATCTCTTCTGAGCTCCTTAGCTCAGTTCAATATAAAACTTAAAGGCCACAGTATCTGTCTTGAATGGAGTTTGGAGGTAGAACAAGTTGTGTACCTTCTGCTAAATGAGGTTACATGGCTGTGTACTTCGACTGCAGTGTTGTGGCGCTATGGATATACTGGATTGGAGGTACACAGTTCTTGGTGTGCTGGCACTGTTTCAAAAATCAAACTTTTACATTCTGCAGACCTCAGTGTTTGTGTGCTTTCCGAAATTATTTTGTTTGACTTTTATGTAAAATACGCTCTCTCCATTTTTTTTTTATATTTGCTGTAACTTGTCCTTGAGCTTGCTCCACGTTGTCGTCCTTCACTCAGTGATTACACTGGAACTGTTTTGCTGCTGCTGAATGTTTTGGGTCAAAAAAAAAAAAAAGAAAAAAGGCAACCAAACACCCCACCCCCAAACTCCCTTAAAAACCCAGACATACCCCCTGCCCCAGCCCAGCACCTACCACTTTACTCCTGCATAGTCTTTCTAGTTGCACCTTTAAGTTCAATAAAAAGATGGAGGGACTTGCACCCAGTAGTCATGGTAACTGCTAAATTACTGTACTGTGTGGAGTGTCGGAATAGGAATGAGGGAATGTTGGTTGGGTCGTTGGTTTGGTGCTTTTTGTGCGTGTATTCCCCGCATTAATTTAAAAAAAACCCAACAACGCATTTGTTTGTTAACCATATTAAGGAGAACAAGATCATGTGGCTGTTAGAATTTTCTGTACTTCTGGTCTAGGCTGTATTGGAGTTCTGACTGCCCTGGTGCATGTACAGTTCAAGAAATTTAAGTAATGTGGATTACTTTCTTCATTAAAAACGCCATTCTGAATTTTGGCCTGTAAAGAATGTGTGAGGGTTTTTGTTGGTTTTGTTTTTGTTGCTCCATTAAACAACACTGGAGATAAGAATCAACTTGTTGTGTCTTTACTATAACTAGCTTTTAGTTAAGATACTCATACTACAGGGTTGGGTGGGAAGGAAGCCAAAATGTATGTTAACTAAATAAATAGTTTCCACTTATTGCAAGTAGATGATTTTCAACTCTTGCCCTCCTGTCTTGAATGATTAACAGCCTTGCAGTTTTAGCTCTTGTGCTGGATCCCTGGTATTAGATGAACAGTAACTTGCTGTCTTTCCATAGCCACTTAAATAAAAATATCATCCAGACAAAGTGCCTGTTGTTAAGAGGTTAATGAGATGCTGTGTTTTGATAAATTCGCTTTTCTTGATGAAGTTAAGACGTAGGTTTGTCATGCACTGGTATGCTAAGTGGAGTTCCATTCTAGATCTCTTGCAGGATCAGTTTATTCCTTTTGTTCACACTCACTGCTCTCAGTGACTGAGACTGAGCAAGGTACTGTGCTTCTGAACTTACCAGAAACTCTCCTTTAACTTCCTTTATAGGCAAGCATCTCACTGACCTTTGGCCTTTATACCTTGGACTTTCAAGATTCTTTAAGTATTCCCGAGGTAAGAGAAACTCGAGAGAGAGAGAGAGAGAGCTTTGCTTGCCCAAGCCATTTTCCTACGTCTTCCTTATTGAGACCACCTCAGTTTTCCCTTTAGAGATCATCTTCAAGCTGATTTTGAAATTACAGTAGCCATAGCTTTTTCAGATCTTGTTCACTAGGGAAAAATAAAAAACGCCTAGGCAAGTGTTGACAAGTTTCTGTTCTGCAGCTTGTCGGGAAGAAGGGCTGTTGTTATTTCTTTAAAGATACTGCGAGAGCTGAATTTTTCATTCTTAGCTCACTTTTTACAGCAGACTGTTTTACAGCAGACTCCATGGTCTGTGAGACCTGACCCCTGAAGCTGTTGTAGGGTGGCTTGTTGGAGCCTGGGCCTGTGAGCAGATTCAAACACCAGAGTATTGCTCAGTTTCCATGATGGAATCTAGTCAAGGTACTGTTCATAGGAGCAAACCAGAAGCCTGGATAACCTCTTCTGATTTTAATTGACTCTCTGATTAGAGGCTAGGTTGGCTGGTTTGTTTTATTGGTTTTCTTGTGCTCTTTCTATCTCTATTTCTCTTCTTTGAACTAGGCTCCTGTTGTTCTGACACTTAAAAGCCAGTTTCTTTGCCTCAGTTTATATATATGCATTTAGCTGTGGGGTCTTTCCAGGCTCTCTTCATGGTGGTGCTCAAAAACAGTCATGTAGACTCTTCTAGCAGTTGCACAGATTTTTTTAAGATTTTTTTTTTTTAATGTGTATAAATGAGGAAGTCCTGTAACGCCAAAATTACAGTATTTAGGGTTGGTTCTCAGAACTGATTGGCTTTTTGGTAGGTAGTGCTGGGGAAGACTAATGGATAAACTGCTAATTCACGATACTCTTGGGAGAAGTGAAGTGTGTATCAGTAGACCCTCAAATTCTTACAGAACACTCGACTTCTAGGCTTTCTTGGCATTATTGGCTTTGTCAGTGTCTCAAATCAGAAGGTACCTTTTAAAGTATATATGAAGATACACCTGTAAAAGTACTGAAACTTTCATGAGGAATCTGGGTTGTGTTGTGGCTTAGCTCATAAACTTTATATGCTCTCAGTACAGTTTACCTGTGCTGTTGAGCTGTGAACAACTCACTAACTTGGGCTCAGGGTGCAAAGTGTCATTCTGTTTTGTTTTGGGAACCCTTGAAGTGAAATGCTGTACGTCATGGTGTTGGTTTCAAGCATCTTTCCATGAATGGAAAACTATGGATACTTCTTGCTTGTTTGGATTCCTGTTTATCATTTCTCATTATCTCTGTCGTGTCACCATGTAAAGAATATCAGTACAGCGTTTTGATAGAGGTGCTGTAGAAGGGCCTTGGTATTAATTTTTGAATCCTGGGGTGCTGAGAGTTGTGTTCTTTTGAAAAATCCAGTTCCTGTTTCAAATGCCTGGCATGCAGTGTTAATATTCATCTGACCTTTTAATATTCTGGCGCTTTTGCAATCTCTTCACCCCCTTCCTGTTTCCAGCCTTCTCTTTGGCCTTTTCAAGACTTGGGCATGAACTTACTCTTCTGCTTCTCAGGAATTGATACTGCATGGCTTTCTGCTAGATATTGAAAGGAATTCCACCAGCAGTAGAACATGTAGAAACACCTGCTGATTGTGATCCGTGGAGGAACGCAGGTGACTTTTAAAGGGTTGGCGTCAGGTTCTGAGCTACCTAAGGTGGTCTTGTAGACATCGAGTCAGCCTGTGAGAATGGTATGCTGTGAAAGAGCTGCAATATGAGTGTCACGTCAGGGCTATAAGATGTGCTTCTAATTGCTAATGTAGGATGTTGATTCTTTTTCTGTAGGTCTTCAGAGACTATTTAAACTTAGCATATGCGCTGCTTTTTTTTTCTTTTTTTTCTTTTTTTAACTTTTTTAACTGGTGGTTGAGTTGGGACACTGCTTTTTTTAGCCAGCCCAGACCAAGCTTCCTCTTGATGATTAACAAGTATGATTATGTCTATCAGCACATACATTGTCTCAGGTGCTAATGCCATTTTGAGTGTGTTAGGTTTTCCACCTATCTTTGCTCTTGCAGGTCACTTAGCTTAGGAAAAAAAAGGTGCATTTCAACAGGTAACATAAAATGTAACGGAAGGGGCAGTCATTCGTTTAGCCCAGCAAGAACAGACAGAGCTGAAGACCAATCTTAGCAGTAAAAATCCTGTGGCTTTTCCTTCTGTAACATTTGCAGATAAAGGTGCAAAATTGACCTGCCATGTTTGTACATATTGGTGTGTACTTCTCATGATGTAAGTATAGTTGGGCCCTTGTTGGGAAAACTTTTCCTGATTGGAACTGAAAATCAGAGCAATTTCTATTCTGAAACTGGTCAGGTTCAGTTCAGGCTGTATCATTAAATTCCTTCTAATGAAGGAAGTGAAATCCTCAACATTATTAGTTATTTCTGATTAAACTTCTAGTGTTTTACAAGGCGAAATAAAATCAGGACATGCAACACAAGGTATGTTGTTTCCTTCATAAATGTTGCATACAAGAAGCAAACCTGATTTGGTAATCTGAAAAAAAGAATGCTGAATGTTACAAGTAACTAAGACCAGGGTCAGCCAAGCAGTATGGGAATTTAAAAACCAGGATATTGGTGAAGGAATTGATGAGGTTTCCTTCCACCAACTTCAAGAATTTATTTCCCCTTGTTTACTTTTGTCATCAAATACCCAATGAAGTCTGTAAGTAAGGGGAGTTAAGACCAGCTTTATAACGCACTTCAAACAAGTAATGGGCCTTAGTCTTATGGATTTAATCAAAAGCTGTTAGCTTGTTTAACACGTCGGTCGTATGCTGTGTAAGCAAAAGGTGCAAGTTACAGAAAGAGCTGCAGGAAACAGTTTCTCATGACCCTACAAAATTTTTATTGTTGTGAAGAGCCCCCTGGGATGTGTCATACGCTTACCAGTGTGCACACCCCATCTGCCCCAAACCAGAGCGTATGTGCTCAGCCAAAGGCAACTTACAGAGATCTGACATAATCTCTAGAGTTCTGCTTTCTCTTGGCGGTGGTGCAGCTCAGAAATTGAGCTCCTGCTTTTTGCAGTCTTACAGGTTTTTTCTGTAACCAGTGTTTTCCTGTAGAAGATATGAAGGATAGTTTTTTCTTAAATCTCAAGCTTTGGGAAGAAGGTAGAGTTCTCTGCCAATTTACAGAGCTTTATTTTCTTATTTTATCTGCCCATGATTTTCACCTACCTGTTTCCTCTAGCCAGTATTTTTTAGGGAAAGAAAATAAATCTTAAGATCGCACTAACTTGTGGAACTTCAGTCTTCCACAGAGGTTGAACCTATGCTGTGTGTTACTGTTGATAGATACTTCATGTGTAGTCATTAAGAGGGGTGTTTTACGTGAGTGCAGATGTTAAGGTTGAAATCTGCATAAAACCATACAGTGTTTGTCACTGTAATAAGGTTTTGGGTTGGGCGAAAGTTGATTTGAAATCACTTTTTCAAGATAGTTGCACATTTTTTTTGTTTTGATGTTTCTTACTCGGTCTTTTCAGATAGATTTGTCAGATTGTTCCTCATTTAGTGTGTTTAAAACCACACACCATCTCAACCCAGCTGCAAACGCCAGAACTGTGCATAGATCCCTTGATGCTATGATTAACTGGGAAACTTACAGCATCCAGTTTATTTACTGGATTTGTTTACTGTCATTAAAAATGCATGTGCAAAGTTATTAAGAAAGAAAGGAGGGTAACTCTTTTATTATACTGGTGCTTTTTACCAATTGCTAGGCGTTGTAAACAGTGAAATACTATTCTGTGTTCGTTAATCTTATCAGAGATCTGTTTTAGAAATAAATAGTGCTTCTTGGCAGAATAGAGGGTTTTAATGTTCCAGGTAGTATGCTTGGCTGTACCTTACCTCTACCATTACCTCAGGAACTGAGGGCCCGTGATTTGAGTACATAACAGTCAATTTCTTTATGCTAGGAGTTAAAGGTTTATATGCCTAGCAAAAGAGCACTGTGCTGCAAGTAACTCTGAGGAAGAATTGAGAATGAATAACTGGACTGGAATAGCTTTATTCTTTATTTCAGATTTCGACCCATTAAAGGAAGGCAAGAAGAACTAAAAGAGGTGATTGAACGTTTCAAGAAAGATGAGCACTTAGAAAAAGCCTTCAAGTCCTTGACGTCAGGTGACTGGGCCCGGCACTATTTTCTTAACAAGAACAAAATGCAGGAAAGGTTGTTCAAGGAACATGTAGGTGTATTTGTAATTAATGTGCTTTTTCAGATTGTTGAAAGGCTAAGAAAATGTAAAAATTCCTTAGGAATGTAGTGGTAGTAAAGTAATTCACTGCTCTGTTACATGTCATTTGTTTGATTGATATTCAATAGAAATTTCCTTTGTTTTTTTAAAACCCAGCTAGCTTCCCCCACCTCCGCCTTTTTTGAGTTAACTTACCATTGCCTTTTATTTAATGGACATGTAGAAAGGAAAACACATTTGCCTCTTGTTGGGGAGACAGGAGTTTCTTGATGATGTCTTTCATTCTTTGAAAGTGTTTCCCCCTTTTTTGTTTTTTACTTACAGCTTTTGTAAATCGAACTGTGTGGTAAAGAAAGGTAAAGGGAGCAGCGTTGATACCTCAAAATACCTCAGTTGTGTTGGCTATAGGGGCTTTATGTGAGAGTGTTATTCCTCTTCCTGCACTTTCACACCCAGATCCATTTTGTGTATAGCATAAACGTTGTTGACTCTCTAAGTTGCAGTCATAGTATTTTTTTTTTTACTTAAACAAAAAAAACCCAACCAAACAACAACAACAAAAACTCCCTCAGGATTTGAGTGCTTTGTTTTCAGATACAATCAAAGGGAATTTGGCCTGCTTTAAAGGGCTTCAAATTTAATATTGGAGAAAAATGTAGACAGCCAGTTCTGCTTTCCCAGTGCTTTTTGAGCGATACAACCTCACTTTAACAAAAAAAAAAGGCAGTTGATCCAGCAATCCCTGGATCCAGATTTGTCATGGAAGTAAAACGTTTTTCAGAACTGGAAAGAATAAAATTTGATACTGTAGATTAAGTCTCTGGTTCTTAAAGAGCTGAGAAGAATTCTCGAATGTAACTACTCAGTGACTTTAAGAAGAAGTTCTCTGTTTTCATTGGTTTGGCCAATTTTGTACCATGCAAGGCATTTTTATTTTTTTTTTTTGAACTCTTTGGATTGTTGCATTATCCATATGAAGGTTGCTGTAAGTCACTTTGAAGAAACAGGCTTAACATAATGTGTATAGCTAAAACTTATAATCAGATGCATTTCAGCAAATACCATCCCATTGCAATATCCATTTTTGTGTGTATGTTTGTGCATTTCACCGACTTTTACTATTCTTATGTAATGTTCCTCGCTGCTTTTGTTTTGCTTGTAACAGAAGAGTGCTGTTTTCTTCTGTTGCAGGTATTTATTTATTTACGAATGTTTGCAACTGACAGTGGTTTTGAGATACTGCCTTGTAATCGGTATTCTTCTGAGCAAAATGGAGCCAAAATTGTTGCAACTAAAGAATGGTAAGAAATACAGTTTACTGTTACATCCTATTTCTGTCACTTATTTTGAAGGATTCTTAAAATAGTTATTAAAGATTATGATTTAGAATTAAAACTGCAACCAGTAGGTAATTTTACTTAAAAATTAAATTTGGTGTCTGTTTTTGCGGAGTACTTCAGACAGGATACATGCATCTGTAAGAGGTTCCTTCGTATATTTGTGTGTAGCCATACAGTTTTCAGTATGCAAGCTTTTTATCTTGTTTTCAACCAGATAATTATTTTCCTCTAATCATGAGTTGCTGGCCTCCTGTGAGAGACACAACCATGTCAAGATCCACATTATGCCATGTTTTTATACAACAAATGATTGTGAGGGAAAGGAGTTTTTCACCTCTGTGGAACTTGGGGGTGTTATCTGCATGTTTTGATTGTGCAAGAGAAATCTGTCCTGGAAACACCAAGTTGGAACCCCGGTGCATTTTCTCTATCTCATTTTGGCACATCTGAGTTTCATTATAATCATGTCTGTAGCAGTACCAGCAGATACTTGGGTTAATTCAGATTTTTTAAAATAAATTTTCCCTGTTCTTCTCCCTCTTCTCCCATAACGTATATTTTCCTTGCTTTGTGGCAGTACATGCTCATAACAGCACAACTGAGATCACAGAATCGCTCGGTTGGAAAAGAC